TTCATTCATAAATTTCCAACGATAGAAGCCTGGTATCGATGAATGTTATAAACTATTTGAAAGTTGTAAATCTCCTCTAAAAAATAGGCTAACACGTGTTTCAATTCATCGAACCATTGAAGAAATTTCGAGGCCGAAATGCGAGTGACCAAAAAAGGAATCGAGTCACTTTAGGTTCTCGGAGGGGCGCTGGGCGTGACGTTAGTCGGCCGAGCGTCCCAGTCTAGATGTCGGTGGTGCTTCGGAGGGTACCAGGGTTGGTTCCGATATTGCTTTGAAGGATTAAGATATACAGGGTGTCCGATGCAAGCCCCCTATTCACAAAATCCTCAAAAAATCAACTTGATCTTGTTATGTGACGCCTGAGGCAAAGCCATTTTTGATACCACGATGAGCCTTGAAAAATCAACGAGAAAATTTTCTCGTCTACAAAACGACTGCCCCGAGAAATGTTTCCAGACTCAAACCGATGACCACTCTTTTTCGGACAGCCTGTATATCGGACTGAGATCCAGTGTTGTCACAGGGGTTTTGGAGGGAACACAGGAGGGGACGGGGTCCCTTAACTTGAGAGATCAAACTATGCTTGATCAAAACTTTTGCCCCAAAACACCAAGCCAGAAAAACCCGTCGTTAGGCGAATTTTTTGGCTGTTTATTTAAACTAGGACGAATTTAAGGCTAAAAAAACAATGAGAACGAAAAACTGATAATAGGAACGCAAATTTCGGTTATTTGATCAAGAAATGCTTTGAAATGTACAAAAAATTATTTCCTGATTCCAAGAGAACAATCAAAAGTAAGAAAGCAAACAAAAGTAAGAGAACAATCCCTTTCTTTTCATATTCTATAAATTATTATGATTTTATTATTAAGTTTTAATGAGAGAACAATTCTTCAGGGAAAACTTGATTCTCAAAAACCGAACAAACAAAGCTTTCAGCTTTCAAGCTTTCAAAGCATTAAAATAAACACAAATCTTTTGAAATAATCTATCAAATTAAGCTAACCAAGGAAATGAAATCTCATGGGTAATTGTGATTCCTAAAGACTTTTGAAAGCCAATGAGAAATCAAGCCAATTAGAAATCAAGCCAATTAGAAATCAAGCCAATTAGAAATCAAGCCAATTAGAAATGCAAAAAATCATAAAATCAAAGCCAGTAGGTTTCTTGATTTCCCAAGATGAATATGGGAAATTATATCCAGATGAATGGAAATATCTTGGTGAAAAAAAAGGACCTAGGCAGAGCGGAAATAGCATTCCCTCGACCCCTCTTTACTCCTTTTATCCACTACTTTTGCATGTCCTTCTCTTCTTCTCTTCGATGATCAAAAACTTGAAAAAGCTCGTGGAAGAGAGACTCTTTTTACTCAATTGCCCAATAAAAACACTGCCAATCATCCGACTCAATGACATGTTCATTCAGTGTTCGTTTTTTGGATGACATACGATGAGTGATTAGTTGTACTTGATTAGTTGTACTTTTAGTTGTACTTTTAGTTGTACTTGATGATACGAATGACCATTACATTACAGATTACAAAGTTCTTTTAAATCTTGTAAATTGTTTGTGTTTTGAATTGAAATGACTTTTGAGAACATGTAAGAATTGACTTTAACAACAAAAAATTGAACAGTCGTTTTGAATTGAACAGCCAATTGAACAGCCAATTGAACAGCCAATTGAACAGCCAATTGAACAGCCAATTGAACAGCCAATTGAACAGCCAATTGAGCAACCAATTGAACGGCTCTTTGTAACACATCAACAACAATCGAAGGTATACTTTCAAAGGGTTCCCCTAAGCTCTAGTTGAATATCTTTTAGTTTTATGGGAAAATTCAAACAAATGGGACAGCTATGAAATCTACGAAGCCGCACAATCTGCGTAGATCTGCGTAGATTTTTCGTAGCTGTCCCTTTTGTTTGAAATTCCACTAGAAGATATTCAGTTGACTGGGCAAGGGGAATACTTTGAAAGTTTCCAAGGACAGATCATGTTCATTTTGACTTTAGGACCGCTAAATTGGATCATTAGGTAGAATGGAATTAATGATTGAATCATTAGGTAGAATGGACAATCTGGGCAACGGATTGGAGAAGTCTCGTGATCGCCGGGAGTTTAAGCAAGATCTCTTTCAAGAGGACGATTTGAATGGAAACAAAGAGGGAAACCATGGGGATGCAGATTTGATTGCACGAAGTTGCAACGATCGACTTCAAAACTCGACTTCTATTCAGTTCAGATCGACTTCTATTCAGTCGATTTCTATTCTTCAAAAATGATCGGTCTTGTGTGCAGCGCTAAATCAAACAAGGAAATGAGCTCGAGAAGCTTTATGAAAAAAGAAAACGGATCGATCGCCGGGTCGCCGCTTGATTGAACGACGCTTGACGACACGGCTTTGGCGCTGTGGATTCGTGAGCGAAGAGCCGAAAAGAAACGTGTCATTCGTCGAATCATTTGGAACAAAGCAATCTCTGATGCCAAGATTCCATTCAAGAGGACCCACGACTGGATGGTATCGTTTTTGAAGCGGCAATCGCTTTCGTTGAGAGCTCCAACTTGTCAGAAACTTCCAAATGAGTTTGAGAAGATTCAATAAGCTGCAAAGTTCTTTAAAATTGAAATTAACGATTGAATCATTTGTTCAGTTGGAATTTTGTTATTGATAAAGTTGAAAGACTTTTCAATACTCAACAGTGATGTGAGCACAAAAGCACAGCACAATTTTCGATGGAAAAGCCACACTTTCTCATCAACTTTCACACTTTCTCACCAACTTTCTCACTTTCTTTCTCATCTTGTGAGCTGAATTCATTACAAGATAGTTAATTTCAATTCATCAAAGAAGATTCGTGATGTTTTCAAATCATATCCAAACTTATTAGTGTCACCTTTCACAGCGTTTTTGACTTTTTGCTTCTCTCGACTTCTCTAGATCTCTAGGTGATGGGTATCCTAAAAGAAAAGGGTTGAAAGAGAAGCAAAAAAGGAAAGCAGAAAAGAAAAGCAGAAAAGAAAAGCAGTTGTCTCTGAAGAACAGAATGTGTTTGAAAAGGGAAACAGAACAGAACATGAGCATGAGATTGAGAATGAACTGAAAAGAAATGAAAGAAAATGAAAGAAAAGGGAAACGCCAAGAGGCCCGCCACCGCCGATCAATCGATTTCTCGTCCCTAACTCTTCCTGTTCGGAAAACTTTTGACTTTTTTGTGACTTTCATTAGAGAACCTGCAATTCTTGAAGGTAAATATTAAATCAGCAACTTGTTAAAATTCTATTGAATAGATTTAACTGTCAAGTTTTTGCTTTCCTCTGCTTTTTCGCTCTTTTTGTGCACGACAAGGTTGAGTAAACTTGATAACGATTCAAGAATCTTTGTAAGCGCTTTGATACTAATAAAAAAAAGCTTGATAACAACTCAGAAATCTTTGTAAGCGCTTTGATACTAGTAAAGTTGGACGAGGGGCACCTAAATTTTTGATTTTTCTACGTTTTCTTTGGTAATCGATGACGCTAATCACGAATTTGATGTTTAAAAAGTCAATTCGCTTTTCGAGTTCTTGGCAATTTTAAGTTTCAACAAATTTCATCTTTTTAAATGCACATTTTGTATGCAACGGAAAGCAAAGCAGAGCACATTTTGTATGCAAATAAGCCTGGGACACGATGCTGAGCCTGGGACATGATGTTGAGCCTGGGACATGATGTTGAGCCTGGGACACGATGCTGAGCCTGGGACACGATGCTGAGCCTGGGACACGATGTTGAGCCTGGGACACGATGCTGAGCCTGGGACACGATGCTGAGCCTGGGACATGATGTTGAGCCTGGGACACGATGCTGAGCCTGGGACACGATGCTGAGCCTGGGACACGATGTTGAGCCTGGGACACGATGCTGAGCCTGGGACACGATGCTGAGCCTGGGACATGATGTTGAGCCTGGGACACGATGCTGAGCCTGGGACACGATGCTGAGCCCGGTCCACTTAGCCCAAAATCTATGCTGATGAATCGGCCGGGCTCTAATAGCAATACACTCCAATACAAAAGATTAAAAAAAACAGCCTAAACAATCTTTTAACATTTAGGCTTTTAACAAAAGGCTTTAGGAAAGGTCGTAGAGCTTCAAAAATGTTTTCATAGAAGGGAATCGTAAGCGTAGATTCTGAATTTCGACAAATCAGACCTCGCTGACAATTTGGGCTAAAAGGAAAAAACTACGCAACTTAACGCTTTTGCGCAGTTTTGGCCTTTTAGCCCAAATTTGACGTGTCAGCGAGGTCTGATTTGTCGAAATTCGGAATTTACACATACGATTCCCTTATATGGAAATATTTTCGAAGCTCTATGACCTTTCCTAAGGCCTTTTCCAGCAAAAAAAAGGTGCGCAAATGTCCAGGTGCGCAAAAAAAGGTCGCATTTGTCAGATGTCGAAAAACTTGTGGTAGAGTTGTCATTTGAGTATATGTTATTAGAATGGAAAGAATGGAAAGAATGGCTATTAGTACCCGGCCGATTTATCAGCATAGATTTTGGGCTACGTGGATCGGGCTCAGCATCGTGTCCCAGGCTCAGCATCGTGTCCCAGGCTCAGCATCGTGTCCCAGGCTTATTTGCATACAAAAATGTGCTCTGCTTTGTTTTCTTTTGCATACAAAATGTGAGATTTGCATTTAAAAAGATCAAAATTTATTTGGAACTTAAAATTGCCAAGAACTCGAAAAGTGAATTGACAACACGCGTTTTAAACATCAAATTCGTGATCAGCGTTATCGATTACCCCTGGAAAAGATGGAAAAATCATTTAGAAAAATCAATTTAGGTACCAGCTCAACTTTATTAGTACCAGAGCTTTTGGGCCACCAATTCTTTTAAGCAATTTTTGGTGTTATTAACTTATGACCTTTGTAGTCTTATTTTATGAATTTTAAAGACTTTCTTTTTGTTTTAGACCAAGTTTTAGACAGTTTTAGACAGACAAAAAAAAAATGCCAAAAATCGAGCCGAAGTTTGAGTTGGCGTTGAGGAGGACGATTTTCTATTCAGTTCTGATTGTCATTTATCTTTTTCTTGGTGCTACCATTTTGTCGTTGATACGACCACCACGATATGACAAGGTTTGGATGAAGTTTTAGATAAATAAACAGATTTCAAGTTAGTGAGAGTGATTTGCGTTGGCATCAGCTTTAATTCAAATTGATAAACCTATTATTTTGGTTGTGGGACCCTTGATACGCGCGCCGCCCCTTTGCCATTGGCAATCCAACTTTGAGCTCAAATATCTTGATGTTGGGCGATCCAATTGAAATAGTTTTTGTACCAATCGACAGAGAAAAACTTGGTGCATCTAATGATACTAAGAATGTTGATATTGGACCGCCCAACATCAAGACATTTCAGTCCAAAGTTAGATTGCCAATGGCAAAAGGGGCGGAGCGACGGACTTTTATCCGCGCCTGCCCTCCTTGCCCTTGGGAATCCAACTTTGAGCTCAAATTTCTTGGTCTTGGGCTCTCCAATTGAAATAGTTTTTGTACCAATCGACAGAGAAAGACTTGGTGCATCTAATGATATCAAGAATATTTAAATTGGACAGCCCAACACCAAGAAATTTGAGCTCAAAGTCAGATTGCCAATGGCAAAAGGGACGGGGCGCGTATAAAATGTTTGAAAACCAATTATTTTATCAGCATAAAGTATCGTTGTATCATTCAGGGATCACTGGACAAAATGGAGCGGATAGACGTGAAACGAGCCGAGCTGCTGAACGTTTTATGGGCAGAAACACTCGCAAAATCCGAAAATGATTGGGAAGAGTTGGCAAATCAGAAAATGGAAGCATATGAAAAGGCAAGTGATTGAATGTTGTTTAATAAATGTTTAATAAATGAAACAAAGCTTAAAGCAATAGAGTTTATAAGAAAAAATAGCTTTTTCTTTCGTATGAATGGTAATTCAATGTAAATTTCCAAATTTTAGGCTCTTCTCTCGAGCGCTTCCTCGTTGGTCGAGCAAAGGGATTTCTCGTTTTGGGGCCACTTTGAGCGATCGTTTGCGATGATCACAACGATTGGTTTGTTTTTAGTAGTTAACTATTGATTGATTGATCTATTGATCTAACTATTGATAGCCAAATATCGAATCTAGCTTCAATTTTCGTTTATAGGACCGATCGATTGTCGGGAATTGTCAACATTCGCGAAAATCTTCTGTTTCATCTACGCACTTCTTGGTGTCCCGTTAACGCTTCTCTACTTGGAGAAATGCAACCAAATGGCCTCATCGTTGTGCTCAACGGTTAGTGAACTTTCAACTATTTGACACGAAAGACAAGATTATTTCTAGGACCACTTTAAGCCATGCCTTACTAGAAATGGGAAAATTCCAAGCCGAACCTAATTCCACTTTCGTTTTCTTCGCCGATTCTTGGCCGATCGCTCTGAAATTTTGCCTACAGAAAGGAATCGACCTTTTCAACTTGTAGACAAAATTTCAGAGCAATCCGTCAAGAAACGGCCAAGAAAATGCAGGTGGAATTAGTTTCGGCTTGGAATTTTCCCTTGGAATTATCTATGCCTTACTATGCTCAACTTTTCAGGGAAAGACCCTAGTCGCTGCAACGAGTCTCATCTTCTTTGGAGCAATTATCTATGATATTGTTGAACAGGGATCTGATGATACGGTAAATAAAGGAATTTCTAAAACTAGAAATAGTCTTTAGCCATTTATCGATGCAATGTTCAGTGTCTTCTTACAATTTTCAACGATAGGTGAAGAGGATCCAAGAGTTAGGTGAGGAAGCTGGGTCCGGGTCCACCAACTGCTAAATTTAGTCCCAAACGATGTTTGTTTTTGCTGACTGAATAAGTTCGCTTTATTTGATGACATCAGAATATTCAGTCTACAAGAAACAAAACTCAATCTTGCTAAATTCAGCAAATGCTAAATTTTTTGTTGATTGATGACAATTGTTGTTGATTGATCACATTGGAGAAGTTTGGCGAGCTCTTGCGTTGTTTGCATTGGATCGACTTGAATAAGTTGTTCCAATTCATTACTATCGATAGCTGCCGAGCAATGCCCATGTAGTTCGTCTTCAAGAGGTTCAATACCTTCTCGGAATCGTGCAGACCAGAGCTGGCAGGATCTTTCGGTCAAAACTTGTTCACCAAAAGCGGAACAGATCACGATGTGATTCGTCAGCGTTTTTGCCCATCTTGAAATCGTAGAGAAGACACGCGTGCACAACATTCTTTTGACTTTCTTTCTCCACCATGATCTAAAGCAAATAGCAATTAAAAAGTAAAGGCTTTGACTTAGAAAAAGCGTAAAAATAAAGTAAATATTCAAGAGTACAAAGATACAAAAGAAAATCAAATAAGATTTCCACATTAAAAAATAGAACATTTTATACCGAGTGAAACTTCTTTTACATCAACCTAGTAACGCTCGGTGTACTCTCTTGATTTTCTTCTTTTAGTTCATCAATAAGCATTCGTTTCATAATTTTGCAGTACCCTGTACAACAGACCTGGTGAAGGCAGATCTAGCTTCTGGTCGGCTTTGGACTAGCTGCCGGCTTTGGACTAGCTGCCGGCTTTGGACTAGCTGCCGGCTTTGGACTAGCTGCCGGCATGGACACTGCCGGCTTTGGCGTGCCGGCATTGGACTAGTGCCGGCTTTGGCAGCTGCCGGCATTGGACTAGTGCCGGCTTTGACAGCCGGCTTGGACTAGTGCCGGCTTTGGACGGCCGGCTTGGACCGCTGCCGGCATTGGACGCTGCCGGCTTTGGACGCCGGCATTGGACTGCTGCCGGCTTTGGACTAGCCGGTTTGGCCATGCCGGCTTTGGACTAGCTGCCGGCATTGGACTAGCTGCCGGCATTGGACTAGCTGCCGGCTTTGGACTAGCTGCCGGCTTTGGACTAGCTGCCGGCTTTGGACTAGCTGCCGGCTTTGGACTAGCTGCCGGCTTTGGACTAGCTGCCGGCTTTGGACTAGCTGCCGGCTTTGGACTAGCTGCCGGCTTTGGACTAGCTGACTACTTTAGCGAGCGAAAGTTCTTTTCCATCAATCTAGTAGCATTTAGTAGAATTGCTAAATTGGTAAATCGATTTTGAAAAATTGGTAAATGATAAACGACTAAATCCGTTTAGCAAAATTGCTAGATGGTGAACCGGTAAATGCTAGGTGGTAAATGGTAAATAGTTTGGTGGACCCGGGCCCTGTAATTCTGTAATTAACAGTACATAACAGTCACTTGCAGTATCAGCCTCATTCTTCAATTGTTTTTTCAGAGGCTTTTTCACCTACACTCTGTGCTTATTTGGTCTTTCATTGATGTCGGTGACGTTCATCATTATTCAACAAGAGGTTGATTTGATTTATTTCATTTTTGAATTTATTCTAGTCAATAGTTTGTCTGAGATTCAGAAAAAAGGTAGATATGCACATAAAAATGGATACCTTATTTTCTCTGATAGTAGCGCTCTAGATTCTCAATATCAACCCCATCCTCTATATTTAAGTTGTGCAAAGTTCGTGCAGTGATCGGGTGCCTCGTTGATTCACTCCAGTCAAACCAGCAATGTCGATGATGTCGATTTTACTCGATCCGATCTCGATTACACTTCCGATTCCTAGAAAGCTATAACTTGGTGATCAGAAGTTGTCCCAAAAGCTACCCGAATCATCATTCACGCTCCCGTCCTCGGAATCCTTTGAAGAGCCAAGTTCAAACAAAGCATTCGTTCGTCGGATTACCATTTGCACCAAACGAGAGTGTAGTGAAGCAACGAGATGGTCACGTTCCATTCTTGCCTAATAAGGGGGCTTTATTTTGTTATATAAATCAATTCACAATGGACAGTGTTTTGATCCCAGTCGCCTCTTCTTTATGTACAATCACCGAACGAGCGATGAGTTTTTTGAAGAGTGAAAGAGCGGAAAGACCAAGGAGGAAAGCCGCGTCTTCCATGTCTAAATTTGAAAGAATTTTCGAAACAATAGAACTACGACTAGTTGCAATTTCTGCGTACAATTTTCAAATAGGTGCCATTCAAATACAATTTTATTATTAAACTTTAGTGCTTTAGAAGCTTTGAAAGGATATGCTTAGAATGGTTAGAATGGTTAGAATGCTAGAATGCTAGAATGCTAGAATGCTTAGAGTGCTTAGAGTGCTTAGAATGTCTAGAATGCTTAGAATGCTTAGAATGCTTAGAATGCTTCGAATGCTTCGAATGCTTAGAATAATGCTTTCAGAAATCAAACCATTGAGATTCTCAATATCAACCCCATCCTCAGTCTCGTAGAACATCAGATTTTTCAAGAGAGCACATGCGGCCAAGATTCTCAAAACGTCATCAAAAGGAAGACATAGCGTGCTAAAGTTTTTCGTGTAACTTTAACCATTGAGCTTACCATTGAGCTTTAACCATTGAGCTTCGAATTTCTGACAGTCGAATGCTACTCGCGGATCCATTGCCCAAACGGAAGCCAGCAATACGGAACCTTTCTGAAATTCAACCATTCCGTGAATTCCCTTATTCGGCTCTAGATTTTGCGTTGTTGAACCTTTTTCAGTTGGACCCATTTGAGAAGCAATTGTAGCAAGGAGCAAAGTTGAACATCGTCTAGAGGAGGCCTCTGAAATAGGCACTTTACAATTATTTAAGACTACATCGTGCTTACCGTATTTCCTTAGTAATGCATCCGCTAAACAGCGTCGCCTAAATTGCTCGAAATCTCGAGAACCGCTCCATATCTCTAAATTTGGCTCCTTATCTCTATAACTTTGGTTCCTTATCTCTCTAAATCTTACTTCCCGTATTTCCCCTAAACAGCGTCGCCTAAATTCCTCGAAATCTCGAGAACCGTTTATCAGAACCTATCGATGTGGGGTCGGAAAATGTAGTTGACGATGAGATCTTGTGGGGGATTTGAGTGTTGAGCTTCAGCAATAGCTTGGAAACCAACTCGGCTCGCCGGGGTGCACTACTATTTGAGAAACTACGGTAACAAGATTAGGCCTGGATTAGTGCTATTTCATAGAATGTTATTAGTACAGTATAAAGTCGGAAAAAATTGGTCAACAAATTGCAGATTGAAAAAATAACATCACGTTTCGAGCTACAGTTTTCATTTCTGTTTGGCAAAGCAGAAAGATGGGCTAGCGAAGCAAAATCAAGGAGTATGGATCGGGTTGATGAAGAGGTTTGCATTTTTAGCACTACTAATATAAATGCCGCACCCTGTACTTACGCCATGGGTTTTTCGAAGTTATTTACTAAAGAGATGATTTAACAAGCGATCATCTTGACTCATTGATTGACAAGCTAAATTCTTTTAGTCGTAAGGCTAAAGCAAGCCTATTGCCAATCAATATCTAACCAAAAAGTGCTATAAAACTTAGCCTGGTTGTTTTCTTGAGCTATAAGCTTGAGTTTTCTTGAGCTTGAGTTCAAGTGTTTCTAATGTTGGTTAGGGATGGCTAAGGATGGCTAAGGATGGCTAAGGATGGCTAAGGATGGCTAAGGATGGCTAAGGATGGCTAAGGATGGCTAAGGATGGCTAAGGATGTCTAAGGATGGCTAAGGATGGCTAAGGATGGCTAAGGATGTCTAAGGATGGCTAAGGCTGGCTAAGGATGGCTAAGGATGGCTAAGGATGGCTTGGCGAGGCTTCAGTGAAATTCTAAATACCACATCAACGCCTAGTTCTTTCAAAGCATCAGTAATCAATAGCTGGAATCAATAGCAATCAATGTCTAACCAAAAAGAGCTATAAAACTTAGCCTGGTTGTTTTCTTGAGCTAAATCGAAGTTCAAGTGTTTCTAATGTTGGCTAAGGATGGCTAAGGATGGCTAAGGATGGCTAAGGATGGCTAAGGATGGCTTGGCGAGGCTTCAGTGAAATTCTAAATACCACATCAACGCCTAGTTCTTTCAAAGCATCAGTAATCAATAGCTGAAATCAATAGCTGAAATCAATAGCTGGAAAAAACTTTTGAGTTGAAATTGTACAAGAAATTGTACAAGAAACTATAAACTAATTTTTCCAGGACGAAGAAGGCGATTGGTAGATCGATTGGTAGAAAAAAAGTGGGATTTAGGAGAAAACTTTCAAATTTTCATCACTGCCTTTCTTTTCTTTCACTTTTTCATCTCTTTTCTGCTTTAAACAAATCAAAAAGTTGTCTTAAAATTGAAGATTTCTATAGTTCTATATTCTATATTCTAATTTCTTTTTTCCATTTTTCGCCATTTTATTGCTTTCTTGAGAGAATTTTTATTGATATTGATTAAGGAGAAAATTGACAAATATACAAATACAAATACAAAATTTGTACAAAACAAATTTGTACAAAACAAAAAGCACTCAATGGAAATGAGATCGAAATATTCGACAATTTGGAGGGAAATGTTCACTTGCAAAAAGAAATAAACAAAAAAAAAATCCCGTTACTGAAAGAAAAAAAAACCCTGTGAGCCACCAGTTGAGAGATTGAAAACAAGAAAAGTAAACACGAGAAAAGGCAAAGGTTTTTTGTATATAGGTATGGTTTTCAAATTTGGCATTAAGATAAGGGATTTGTGTGCAAAGGAAAGTGTTGTAGGCTAGAGTTTTGAGCGTACTTTGGTACTTTGGTACTTTGGTACTTTGGTACTTTGATACTTTGGTACTTTGATACTTTGGTACTTTGGTACTTTGGTACTTTGATACTTTGGTACTTTGGTACTATGGTACTTTGGTACTTTGGTACTTTGGTACTTTGGTACTTTGGTACTTTGGTACTTTGGTACTTTGGTACTTTGGTACTTTGATACTTTGGTACTTTGATACTTTGATACTTTGGTACTTTGATACTTTGGTACTTTGGTACTTGGTACTGATACTTTGGTACTTTGATACTTTGATACTTTGGTACTTTGATACTTTGGTACTTTGGTACTTTGGTACTTTGGTACTTTGGTACTTTGGTACTTTGGTACTTTGATACTTTGGTACTTTGGTACTATGGTACTTTGGTACTTTAGTACTTTGGTACTTGGGTACTTGGGTACTTGGGTACTTTGGTACTTGGGTACTTTGGTACTTGGGTACTTTGGTACTTGGGTACTTTGGTACTTTGGTACTTGGGTACTTGGGTACTTGGGTACTTGGACTTGGGTACTTGGGTACTTGGGTACTTGGGTACTTGGGTACTTGGGTACTTGGGTACTTGGGTACTTGGGTACTTGGGTACTTGGGTACTTTGGTACTTGGGTACTTTGGTACTTGGGCACTTTGGTACTTGGGTACTTTGGTACTTGGGTACTTTGGTACTTGGGTACTTTGGTACTTGGGTACTTTGGTACTTGGGTACTTTGGTACTTGGGTACTTTGGTACTTGGGTACTTGGGTACTTGGGTACTTTGGTACTTGGGTACTTTGGTACTTGGGTACTTTGGTACTTTGGAGCATAAACGCGCTGCTTCTGGTAAACTCAATCAATATAAAAGTGACTTTTTTGTGACATAAAAGTGACAATAAAAAGCACAGTTTTCTTCAATTTTCTTCAGTGTTCAGAAGGCGCAGAAACGCGCACCTTCTGGCGCACACGGGAAAGTCTTTATATGTACTTTTCTGCGTCAGAAAACGCACAAAAAAAGCCACTTCTGGAACACTCAATGAGAAAGGAGTACGGTGAAAGTTTTTGCGTACTCTGCTCGTGTAAACATGCGACTCCTAGTACACGGGAAAACACTATCCTTGCACAAAATCTCAGAAATTCATGTTTGAGCTGCGAAAATTTTTTTAGAAAACAATACAGTACAAAAAGGGGTGCTTAACGGTGAGGGGAGCGATTATTGGAGGGCCGGGGAGGAGGTCAACTCTTTGGCCAACTCGCAGCTCAAGTTTAAACACCTTAAACTTGTCAGCTTGGAAAGCTTTGATAAGATTTAGATAGCTTAAAACGCTAGCTTTCCGAAAATATTCGTTTTATCAAAAGCTACTAACAAAAACCTATCTAAAATCGGTCTGTAAAAACTCGACCCCCTGACAATCGCTCGTCCCCGCCGATAACCGTAAAGAGGCCAAAAAATTGCAAATCTTTTGTCTTCTGAATAACATTTCATCAGAATATAATAAGGAAATTATGTTGTTAAATTGAAGAATTTTGAAGCAGCTGAACTGTGCTCAAAAAGCAGCTGAACTGTGCTCAAACGTATCCTTTCTAGTGCACTTGATTCTCGGATTTTCTTGAAAACAAGGTTACTTGACTAGAAAGGAGAAAGATAAGCTTTATGCTTTGATGAGTGCGCCAGAAAGCTTGCTTTAAAGTTTTTTTTTTGAGTAACAAGTAGATGGCTTCAAAGCTAAGGCTTGCTCAAAGCTAAAGACTTGCTTTCCCATACAAATCACTTCATAAAGCTTTATGAATAGATAAAGATATTGAAATTGAATGAAAGATATTGTAAAATTAAAAATTGACTACGAGTGAAGAAGTTTTTGTCGTTCCAATTGTTGTAACATCGAGTGTTTCTCGTAATCCCAGCAATTCGACGAGAAACGCGCCGTTGTGTTTCCCGTTGAGGCGTACGTTTTTGCCCTGAAATTTTCTCTGTAATCGATAAATGATAATCGATAAATGAAAGCGATAATCGATAATCGATAACCGATAATCGATAACCGATAATCGATAACTGCTAATCGATAGCTGCTAATCGATAACTGCTAATCGATAACTGCTAATCGATAACTGCTAATCGATAACTGCTAATCGATAACTGCTAATCGATAACCGCTAATCGATAACTGCTAATCGATAATCGATAATGTAAATTGTTAATCGATAAACTGTTAATAGTTGAAAAGTTTTGAAACCAATAAAGAACCGAAAAAAAGAACGCAAAAAAGCAAGCTGAGCAAGCAAGCCGTTTTTGGGGATCATGCAAAGGATGGAAGGCTTAAAAATACTGTAAATGTCAAAAGCTTATTCATTAAAGTAAACCAGGAGAAAGCTATTTAGTCAACAAGACTGAAAATCTATTGTTTTGTTGAAGAATTTAGTCAACAAGACTGAAAATCTTTTGTTTTGTTAAAGAATTTGAAAGATATTCAGTCCAGAAAGCTAGCTGAACGCTTTCTTCTGGTATAAGTAATGAAAAAGTCCACTGACACTTTGCATTAAACTTGTTCCCATAATTTGACAGTTTTCTACTCATCCCAAAACTCACAATTTCTGTTTTTTAGAAATCTCTGAAGGTTCAGAGAGCGCTGAACCAGTCGTTCGTCCTGTCAAATGCAGATTGTTTATTTGCAAAACGTTAGACTCAATTTATAGATGAGAGGTCTATTTTTGGATGATAAATAAATGGTAAATAATAATAAGACATGCGTAGAAGCTAATTTGCTAATAAAATAATGATTTAATAGCTAATAAAGCTAATAAAGCTAGTAAAATGTAAACCTAAAAGTTTCCCAAGTAAAGCTAAGCTAAAAGCATAAGTTTGCAAATCCCAGTCCCTTAGAATACAGTAAGTGTTCCGTCAATAAGACTGAATAAGAGATAGCCTAGTGTGTGTTGAAGTGTGATTATCAAAGTCCAGAGTCAAAACCCGGAGTCAAAATCCGGAGGCAAAGCCCGGAGTCAAAACCCGGAGTCACCGGTGTATAACTTTTCCCTTAGCCAAGCTCGAAAGCAATCACAAAAGCTCACTCGGTGCACTTGGACGAAACGGCGAGATGCAGCTTTGGTGACCTTTTTGTGTCGAATGGAGCACCGAGCGGGGAAACCGTCGGGATCAACACCGAAGTGACGTCCTGAAATCGATAATCTTTTAAGAAGCTTGTAAAAACTCTAAAGTATCGTTCGATATATTGATTGGATTTTGATTTGGATCAAATTTAAGTCTCTGAGGACTCTGAGCAAGAGCTCTGAGGCACCAGAGCGCTAGGTGCGCACTAGGAACGCTAGGTGCGCACTAGGAACACTAGGTGCGCACTAGGAACGCTAGGTGCGCACTAGGAACGCTAGGTGCGCACTAGGAACGCTAGGTGCGCACTAGGAACGCTAGGTGCGCACTAGGAACGCTAGGTGCGCACTAGGAACGCTAGGAGCGCACTAGGAACGCTAGGAGCGCACTAGGAACGCTAGGTGCGCCTCTACTTTGTTCTCGGACAAACGCGAGCTTTCTGGCACACTGATTTGTTAAACCTGATCCAAGCCAGAAGCTGCCCGTTTGTCCCAACACAAAGTCCACACAAAAGAGAATCCAGTGCGCTAGATACCGTGCATCTGCCAGAGCACAAAGTACATCTAATTCACATCGAAAGTTTCCTTTTTTTCAAAAACTTTTGATCAATATATCGACACGAACTCTTGTATTAAATCGCTCAAAAATTTGAAGCCATGCTGGGGGGAAATTCGAGCAGAAAAACTCACTAAATAAATCTAGGAAAGAAAAAATTGTTAGAGTGAGTACGACGGATGGTTGCAGGGAATTTGAAGAGTCAATTTGAGCAAAAAAATCTCTACTATTTTCATAAGTTTTCCACTATTTTTCGTACATTTCACTAAACTTCTCGATTTGGCGAAAAGTGGTGAGAGAGATCTGAAAAATGAAAAAAAAACGATGGACTTGGGTGAGCGAAGATTTTTGCGGGAAATTCGTCATATCGAAACGGCAAATTCTCACCCAAATTCCGGGGAAATGAAAGAAAAATGGAAATTTTTGAAGAATTTATAGAATAGAGGATGGATAGAGTGCTTTTGAGGGGGTTTATTTGACATAAACGCCGGGTGTCTGGCTTACTGGTTTGATCACTTGGCTCTTACATATTTTCCGGGTAATTTGCACGGGTCGTCACGCTTTGAAGGCCTATAACTTTGCCCAGAGATCATATTTTTGCTAACTTTTTATATCATTGTACAGCTGACATTTTAGGCTTTTAAATGATACCAAATAGCGCTTGATTGAATTTTTCATTCCCATGCAAACAAGGGGACACGACACCCGAATTGGATAGGCCTCATTTGCTCAAAGTTGGCTCTGATTTTCTTGAACTGGATTAACCAATCAAGCGCTATTTGGT